TGGATTATGGGCTGGATTTGTCAGGGATGAAGTCAGGTGGGCATTCGAGTCAGCCGGGCATTCGAGCGTGTGTTTGGGCGCTCTTGTTGAGGTTCAGCCGGGATTGTCGGCTGGATTTCGAGCACGTGGGTGGGAATGGAGTGTGCGTGGTAGTCATGGTACTGACTGGGCTTCGGTGCGTGGCGGGTGTCTGGCCCGCATGCACGCCCATTCCCGGCACCCCTCAGCCAGTACCCACCCCCGAGCCAGCGGCTAATGAGGAGACGTGCGCCGCGCCGCGCCGCTGCCTGCGCAGGCCGAGGGGCGCGCGCACCGGCTGGGGCAGGAGGAGACGGTGCTGGTGTACCAGCTGTACACAGCCAGCAGCGTGGAGGAGCGCATCCTGGCGCTGGCCGCCAAGTGAGCCTGTGCTGCAGCGGTGGGGGGTGCGCTGCCCTTGCTCCGGCAGCCACGCCGGGTGGGGCGGGCGGCCCTGGCGCTGGCGGCCAAGCGAGTTGGTGTGGCGGCGGGTGGGCGGGGTTGCGGGAGGCGGCTGTGCCCCCGCGTCCCCACGCATACTTACCATCACCCCAACAACGCACGCCCACGCCCACGCTCCCACCGGCATGCCCATCCATCTGGCCTTCACGCGCACACACACAGTTGCATGGGCACTCACCCGCGCGACCCTGGCGGTGGCTGGCTGCCTGCCTCCCTGCAGGAAGCGCAAGCTTGAGGAGCTGGTGACCAAGCACCTGGGGCGGGAGCGGGACGTGAGCGACGAGGACATCAAGAGCTCAGTGCTGTACGGTGGGTGGCACCGGATGTACTGCCTGTACTGTGTGTATCACCTGTACTGTATGTACCGCCTGGCGGCATCGGCGCGCCGCCCGAGGGCAGGGCCGGCGGAGCGTGCGCCGTGCAGGGGGAGTGGCGGCAAGGGGAGCGGCCGCTCGATGCTGCGCCTGCACACACACACACACACCGGGCCCGGCTGGGCGGCAGCTGTGATGCTCTGGCTGGCTGTGCTGCCTGCAGGCTGGGGCAACCTGATGCGGGCGGCGGAGGAGGACGGCAAGGGCGGCAAGGGCGCTGAGCTGGCGCTGAGCGAGGCTGAGCTGGCGCAGCTGCTGGACCGGCAGCACGTCTTTGCGGATGACCTGGCCTCGGGGGCGGACGCGGGTGGGCGCCTGGTTGTGTGCATTGCGCATCAGATTTCAAATTTGGGTGCTGTTCTGTTTGGCGTGGTGTGTGGTAGTTCATGCGTGTGCCTGCTGGCATGCCCCAGTCACGCTGGCCTGCCCTCGCCCAGGCCTGCCCTCGCTGCCCGACCCACCTGCCTGACCTCTCCCTCGCCTCCCCTACCCCCTTCCCACCCCGCAGCCACGCTGCTGGGAGAGGTGCGCGCCGGCGGCGCCGCGGCGCTAAAGTTTGAGCGGGAGGCCAGCGGCGAGGTGGGAGAGGAGGGCGGCGGCGCGGGCGTTGCAGGCGCCAATCCCGAGATGGAAGCTGCCATGGTGCGGCTGATCCAGCAGCGGGCACGCAAGTACGAGCAGGACAAGGCGGTGAGCGGCGCTGCCTGTGTGCCTTCTTTCTTCCTTGCTTGCTTACTTGCTTTTTATTTCGCTGGGCCGTTGTTTCTTCCTCTGCGTTTCTGCCTGTCGCTTGGTGGCCAGCGCCCCCGGTGCGTGGGCTCTGGGGTGCGTTTCGCGCCTCAAAGCCTTACCACCCGTCCCTGCTGCTGCCGCTGCCGCCTAACCAGGCCAAAGAGGAGCTGGGGCGGGGGCGCCGCGCCCGCGGCGGCGCCAACTATTGCGAGCAGGAGGACGGCGGGATGGGGGGCCTGCTGGGGGAAGAGTCGCCAGGTGGGCGCCAGGCTGGCAGAGGCCAGGGCCAGCACGGGCTGGCGTGACATGCATGCGGGGAGTTTCCCCCCGGGAATGCATGCCAGCATGGAAACGCTCGTCACGCCAGCCGGCACGGAGGAAGGGCAGGGCGGCCGCCCGCGGCAGGGCGCGCAGCCAGCAGCGGCGGCGGCCGGCCCCTGGTCTGCTGGGGCACTCAAGCCGGGGGGGCCTGAGCTGGCTGGAGGCAGGCCCGACTGCCTGAGCGCTGCTAACCCCACCGCCGCCTGCCTCACCGCCTGAGCACGCCGCCTGCAGACAAGCCCGCCAAGGGCGGTGCCAGGCGCGCGGCCGACTCCGAGGATGATGAGTACAACCCTCAGCTGTCGGCAGGGCTGGCGGGCAAGGCAGGCAAAGGTGGGCCCGGCCGCGGGGCGGGAGGGCGGGGCGGGTGTGGATCGAGGATCGAGGATGTCGGCTGGGCGCCCACGGCCTATCTTCTTCGGAAGGGATTGTGTCCGAAGGCGAGGCCTACCTTCTTCTGAAGCTCCCAGTCGGCTGCCCGCAATGTTGCTGCTGCTGAGCTCCGGCGCGGCGCGGCCTGCCTGCCTGCCTGCCTTCCCTTTCCCGCCCGCAGGCAGCGGCGAGAATGCGGAGCCCAACGCTCACCTGCTGTACAGCGACGATAGTGACCTGTCCAGCTCTGAAGACGAGGGCGGCTTCGGCGGCGGCGCGCCAGGCGGCGGCGCCGCGCCAGCTGGCGGCGGCCGGCCGGCCTGCGCAGCTGAGACCCAGGCCGCCGCCGTCCGCCTCACTGCGCACCCGGCGCTGAAGCAGCCGACGCCGGCCCCCAAGCCTCAGCAGGCGCCCAGCGTGCCGAAGCCTGTGCAGAAGCAGCCTGTGCCCGCTGGCCAGCCCAAGCAGCCGGCGCAGCCCAGGCCGGTGCTGCCGGCGGGGCAGGCCAAGGCCCCGACGCAGCCGCCGGTGCAGCCCAAGCCCGCGGCGGCTCCGGTGCAGGCCCCGCAGCAGCGCCTGCTGGTGGCGTCCGCGGCGGCGGCGGCGGCGGCCGCGCAGCCCAACAAGCTGCCCCAGCGCATGGAAAAGCTGCAGCAGGCGGAGAAGCAGGCTCACGCGGAGAAGAGGCACAAGGAGAAGAAAGAAAGGAGGGAGAAGAAGAAGAAGCGGTCGGCCTCTCCCTCGGCGCCGCTCAGCGGCCTGGACGTCGCGCAGGTGGCGGCAGCGCTGCAGCTGGCGCAGAAGCCGTAGCGGCCGCTCTAGGCAGCTAGATGTCTCAGTCAGGCGGGCAGCAGGGCTGCTTTCCTCGATCTCAATTGCTGCCCCACAGAGCTGCCCGCCATGTAAAGACATGTAAATTGACGTTGGCGGCCGCCCCGGGAGGAAAGTAGGGGCGAGAGGTCTTGACTGCTGCAGCTGCTGCTGTGATGCTCTATCACGAGCTCTCCAGAGTCTGTGCCTCAGCAAGCCGGGCCAGCCATGTCCCGCACCATCACCCGCACCAAAACCACCACCCAGACGCGGACTGCCAGGGACAGCCAGGGGGAGACGCTCTACTACGTCGAGGTGGCCTTGGGAGAGCCGCAACAGCGGCCAGGCGCATGTATCCGGCGCCTCGGGACGCTGCCACCTGCCGCCCGCCGCCGGCTGCCGGGCCGCCCCAGCCGCTTCCGCAGCTGCCAGCGCTGCCATAGGCCACATTACCGCCTGCTGCCCCCGCCACAGCCCTGCTTTGCTGTCCCGCGGAGCCACAGCTTCCTGCCATGCGCTCCCGGCCCTGCAGTACGCGCGGAGCGGGAGGTCGTCCTGCCGCGAGTGCCGCGACAAGATCCCCAACGCCGGGCTGCGCCTGGGGGAGCAGGCGCAGGTGGAGCGCAACGCCTGGTCCTGGCGCCACTGGTGAGCTGCTGGTTGTGCATAGCGCCAGCCCAGCGCTGGGCAACACAGGGCTGGGCACGGGCCACGCCGGCGGGCAGGCAGCCGCAGCACGGGCGGCCGCCGCACACAGCCCTGCAGGCTGCCCACCCACGCTGGCCTTCCCTGCGCTTCGCCTCCCTGCCCTGCCCCGCAGGGACTGCGTGAGCGACACGCTGCTGCGCCGCGTGGGCGGGCAGGCAGCCGCAGCACGGGCGGCCGCCGCACACAGCCCTGCAGGCTGCCCACCCACGCTGGCCTTCCCTGCGCTTCGCCTCCCTGCCCTGCCCCGCAGGGACTGCGTGAGCGACACGCTGCTGCGCCGCGTGGGCGGCACCGCCACGCTGCGGGGCCTGCTCCAGCTGGAGCCCCAGGTGCGGGCTGCTGTGTGGGGCAGTGGCGACTGGTGCAGCGCGGCTGGAGCTGTGACGACCGGTGGCAGCGCTGGCACACAGGACTGACCAGAAGACAACTGCTGCCTTGCTTCACACGCCATGCGCCTTGCTTCACAGGCCACCTGCCGCTGCCTTGACTCACAGACCACCTGCCGCTGCCCTGCATCACAGGCCCCATGTGCCGCTGCCGTGCTTTACAGGACCGCGCCATGGTGGAGCGGCGGTACATGTACATCAAGCGCTAGGAGGGGAAGGAACAGCAGGGGCAGCGCAGCATGCCCGAGGCACAGCATGGCATGGTCGACACAAGGAGCAGATGGAGGGGAGATGAGCGGGCACACACAGGCTCATGAGGTGGAGCCTCGCAAATAGAAACGCAACACAGCAAGGCCTGGCATGTCTGAAAAAACAGAACTGTGTTCTTGCTGCCGCCGCCTACACAGGAAGCGCCCGGCGCAGACGCGTCTACAGATAGTCCCAGAAACAACACTGTACATCAAGCGCTAGCGGCGCAAGGGCCAGATATGCTGGGGGCAAATGAGGGGAGCGGGAACGGAGGCAACTGCAATGCATGGCCATGCACGCCAAGGGGAGATGGGTGCAGCTGGAACAGAGGTGCAAGCCAACAGAAGTAGGGAGACGAGCGGGAACACACGGGCTTGGAGCTAGACAAGAAATCAACAATCGGGGGTTCAATTAGGGTGCAACAGATGCACCAGGGTGGTGGAACACAAGCAAAAGGGCTGGCCAGACAGAGCTTTCAGCAAGACCGCTCCATGGTGGAGCGGCGGTACATGTACATCAAGCGCCAGGAGGGGGAGCAGCGGCCGGGGCAGTGCAGCATGCCCGCGTGGGGCACACAAAGGATCCAAGGCGCAGCCTGCCACCCTCCCGCTCGCACCCAGAAATGCAAGAGGGGAAACAGACAGCTGTACAAAAATCTCACTGCAGGCAAGGGATGCTGCAGCTTTGCATCTGGGCATCCACGCATGTAAACTTGAGCAAAGCCTGGCCTGCCAGGAGGAGCTCAGCCTCTCGGCGCCGCCCGGTGCGCCTACACATCCACAGCCAGGCGCAGGTGCGCCTCTAACGGGCCCCAGTCGCCCTGTGCCGCCGTCAACAGCACGGCCCTGTACACATCCCGCCTCGCCTCGGGCTGCAGCTGCGCCCAGATGCACCACAGCGTGGCGGGAGGGGCAGGCAGAGGAGTTGAGGCGCAGCCTGTTGGCGGCATGGAAGCTGTGGAAGCCAAGGGCAGGCGCGCGCAAGGGTGCCAGGCACCGCCGAGGCAGCAGCTGCCTTGTCCAAGCCCTGTATCACACCTCCAGCAGCTGGCCGCCAATGTCTTTGCCGCTGAGCCACAGAAGGTCCAGCGAGCGCGGGACCGCGGCGACGCGGGCAGCAGCCTCAGCCCCTGCCTCCCTCTCAAATGCCTTAATGGCCTCAGGCAGCAGCTTTGCGCTCTCCGGCTCCCCGGCTCCCTGAGGTCCAGACCCTGAGCTGGCCGCTTCCTCCCGCAGCTGCGGCAGCTCGTCCCTCAATGCCCTGCCCAGCCGCCGCTCCAGCTTGGCCCACCGGCAGTGCTTGGCCACACCTCCAGCACACCAGGCAGCAGCGCCTCTCGCACGTGCTGCGACAGCGTGCCCCAGTGCTGCCAAATTGCCTGCACGGGGGGGCGGGTGGCAGGGAGGCAGACGGGCAGGTGGGCATGTAACCAGAGGCTCTCATCGGTGGCAGCAACAGACACCTCTCCAGCATCCCTGGACGATTTGTCTCAGCAGAGGAAGCTCACCAGGAGGGTGGGCCCGCCCAGGCCTGCAATGCCCAGCTGGCGCAGCGCAGGCAGCGTGCCATCCGCCTGCATCAGCAACCCAGCGGCCTGCGCCTCGCAGTGCTCTGCCTCCGCTGCAGCCAGCTCCTCCAGCGCCAGAGGCTGCGCGGCACCGCTGCCGGCACCCTGAGAATGGCTCTCGGCTGCGGAGCCGCCTGCGGCTTGCACAGGAGATGCCATGCGGGGCTACTGTGGGGAGGGGGCCTCCTCCCTCGCGCCGTGCTGAGCATCTGGCAGCGGACAGGCAAAGGCCTGCTGCTGCTGCTCCTGCTGGTGCTCCTGCTGAGTCCGCACCACCTACGCTGGCTGGTTCAGGTGCTGCTGCGGCTCTGCATTCGGCTGCAGCGCATGCTGCGTGCCCGCTGCCGCCTGATTTCCAGCCAGGCCCGCCCCGGCCGCAACTGCTGGCTGCACACCGCTGTGCACCCTGCCTGGTTGCGGCAGGCGGGGGTCGCGTGGGCTCAGCGGGGAATCGGGGCCGGCATTTGCAGGCAAAGTCTGCGGCTGCTGGAAGTGCGGCGGCGGCGGCACCGGCTCCTCCTCATGCGCAGGCGGCTGCTGCTTGCGTGGCTCTCGCAGTGGCTGCGCGGATGCCGCGGTCAGATGCGGCACCGCAGGCGCCGCAGGTGTGGGCGGCTGGGAGGGTGGGCCCGGGTCAGCTTGGTGGCGCTTGGCAGCGCGGTCTGGAGCAGCCGCAGCGTCGGTGCTGTCTCCATCCAGCTGCCGCTTGTGGCCGGTGCTGGTGGCCTGCTGCGCCTGCTGCGCCACCTCCATGCCCTCATCATCATCATCATCATCATCATTATCATCCACCTCCACCAGCTCAGTGGGTGGCGGCTGCTCCAGGTGCTGCGCCACCTCTGCTGCCGGCTCCTCCCCCTCGAGCATCTCCTCCTGCTCCTTGTCCTCCTGCTGCTGCTGAATTTGGTGGTGGAGCTGCTGCTCAGCCTCAGCCTCGGCCTCGGCCATCTCCTCGTGCTGCTGCTGCTGGGGCTCTTGTTCCTGCTCAGCCATCGCCCCGTCATGCTGCTGGTTGTGCTGCCGCTGCTGCTGCCGCTGCTGCGTCCAGGGCTGCCGCAGTGACGCCGGGCGCGGCGCGTGGGCAGCACCAGCCGAAACTCTCTGGTGGCTGATGCGTTTGAGTGCTGCCTCCAGGAAGCGCTTCATCATGGGCCCTGTCCTCAACTTTTTTGACCTGAAGGGGGCAGTTGGGGGGCTCAGGGCACCCTCAACTTGCCTCCTTCCGTCCACGCATTTGATGCATGCATGGAATGTTAGAATTTCCGTGGCTGAGTGTGGCTCCTGCGCAGTGTGGCTCAGCCTGCCGGCAGAAGCTCACCTCATGCATTTCAGCAGGCCATCATCCTCGCTGCCGTCAGTCTTGCCGTACTTGGCGTCTGGAAAGTTGAGCTCAAGTGTAGGATCCACCTGCAGCCATGACTCTTCCTTCAGTGTTTGGCTTCAATCTAGCAAGAGAACCAGTTGGCGGTTCAGCTTCCTCAGCCTGCCGCTGCGGGGTGACTGTAACACAAAGGGTGGAGGGTGGCAACCACTCCTGGCGCAAGGTACAGTGTACACAGGTTGCCGGGGGCCGTGCTGCGCATCACCTCAGAAGGCATGACGGATTTATCGAGGCTGCGCCGCCACTGCCTGATGATCTCCACGTCGGCAACGGCTGCCGCCAGGCCCTTGGTCAGGCCCCCCAACCTCGCATATGTGGTCAGCTGCAGCACACCGCAGCACACCAGAGAGCAGTGGGATGCAGCAGCCGACCTGGCCATTTCACAAACGCACTTGCATGGAGCTGCTGAGCTCAACAAAAGAGAGACCTCACCCGCACTGTGTAGTCGTCGATGCCGTGCCCACACATCACTGCAGGGAACCTTTCGGCTGGTTCGCGCAGCTCGATGACCTCGCTGGGATGCAGCTTGTAAGCCTCGCCCATGATGCGCTCAATGCTGGCATACAAACGGGGCTGCTTGGCACGCCGCCGTCCAGATGCATGCCCCAATGCTGACCCCCCCTGCTCCTCCTCCTCCTCATCTGAGGGGAACTCCTCCTCCGAGGAGTCCTCTTCTTCTACCTCTTCTTCCTCCTCCTCATGATCGTCACCATTCTCACCCTCATCCTCCAGCTCTTCAAAGGGGGAAGAGGAGGAGGAGTGTGCATGACATGTTCTGCCGCCCAGCTGACACTGCCGCATTGAGGCAGACCTGCAGGAAAGGCAGCACCGGCAGCGGTTTGTTGCGCCTCCATGCGCCACAAGCGCTGCTGCCAGCAGAGTGAACGCAAGCATGCCTCGGCGCCTGCCCCACCCAGCCAGGGCTGCGCACCTGCGCTGGACCTTGCCTTCCAAGCCACCGGCCTCCGGTATCAGCCCACTGGCTAATGGCGGCTCAGAAACAACCTGCTCCCGAGAGGTTCCCCCAGCCCCAGCCCCATGCGCCTGCCGCTGCTCCTGCTGCTGCTCGTGGTGCTGTGGCGTCCGCTGCTCCTGCTGCCGCTGGCCTTTGACCTGCTCGACCGCCTGCCGACTCTGTTTCCTGCCAGCTCCACCCTCCTCCGGCTTGCGAGGAATCGTGCGCTTAATGAATTCCTTCCAATCCTGGGCTGTTTCTAGTCCCCTGCAGGGCGTGGGCAGGCCGGATACAGCACACATCATTATGCCGGCCATTGTCTGTTGCCTCATGGCACGGCATGCGTGCGCTTGCAGCCACTTGGTCTGCTTGCCCGCACCAGAGGTCTCGCAGCAGGCTATCGCCCTCGCCGTACTGCACATCTGGGAGCTTCAGCTCCATCTTCACTGAAGCATCAACCTGCAGCCAAGGCCGGGCACCAATATTTGCAATTGCGTGGCGGGAGTGCTCCAGTCTGACCCCAAGTGGTGCAAGGTGCAGCGGGTCACCTGTGAGGGCACGGCAGCACAACACTTGTGCCAGATCCAGGAGGCCATTGCTCTCAAGTCTGACGCCACCACTGCCGCGGGCATCTTCATGCGTGCCACTTCAGCCTCAACATTATATCTTTGCACCTGCAGCGGGAAGGCCGGCTGCCACTGCCTTAACTAGCGTGCGGGACCAACGCACAATAAGTGCCAGCCACAGGCCATCAAGTTAAGGAATGTGCAGCTTCGTATGCGTCAACCTCACCTCGACTCCTATGCCGGACCGGTTACCTCCAATCTTCAATCCAGGGGGAGGGGGGGTGAAGAGCCCCGCGCGGTGTCGCTCCACGGCTGACTCCAGCGCCGCCTGAAGGCTGGGGTACTTGTGGAGCTCGGGGGGCGCCACGCCCTCTCCAAGCTCCAGCACCGCCTCTGAGATGGTGTGACCTGCGCAAGAAGTGCTGCCGCCCTCCAGGTCCACCGCCCTGTCGGCCGGCTGCACATCAGCCTCCTGCTATCCCATCCCTGCTGCGGCCTCAGCTTCGGCATGTGCTGCTTGCTCTCTGGCTGCCTGCTCGGACAGCGCCGCAGGCGCGTGACCCGCTGCCTCGGCCTCTGCTGCCGCATGGGTTGCCTGCTGCTCTGCTGCCGCGCCTGCTTCTGCTGGCTGCTCCTGCACCTCGGCTTCCCCTGCTGCCGGCGGTGCCTGCTGTGACGCCGGTGCGCCTGCCGCTGCCCCAGCCAGCTGCGCCTGCACCCCGGCTTCCGGTTCTTCGTCTGCTGATGCATAACATAAACCTATATTGCCCAAGGCACCTAGCTCCGTCGACGTCGGACCCCCCCGAATCCAGGCACCCTGCGCTGCTGCTCGGCCCTGCTGTTGCTCCAAATTGGCTGCCGCTGCCGCCGGGGGTGCGCACTGCGATGGTGCAGCCCCTGTCATGGACTGCAGCTCTGCCAGAAGCAGGCTGACTGCCTCGTCGCCTGTCGTTGGCTCAGGGGTTGCGCCCTGTTGCGCCATCGCCGCTGTCGCTGCCGCGGGCAGGTGCCCCTGCCCCTCGGCCTGCTGAACTAGGCCTGAAGTGTTGCTCCTGCGCACACCAGAGCAGGAGGGAGGGCTCTGCTGCGCACTTTGGGCTGAGTGGGCGGGCCTGAGCTGCGCTCGTGAACTCCCAGAACGCAGACAGGCTTTTCCAGGCTCCTCAGGCTCTGAACACAAGGTGTGTTGTGTGGAGCAGGCACGCAGCGAGACCAGCAGTCTGTGCATATGAGATGTTGCAATCCAGACTTTCCACCAGCCACTGGGCCCACGAGCACCCCACTCCTTCCTCTACCAACGCGCAGGCAAGCTTCTCAAGTTCAACAGTTGCAGCTGCTGCCGTATACCGTTGTCTGGCTGCAACGGCACCGACGCCCCCTAATGGGCCCAGGTGTTACAGTCACCCCGCTATGATAGGCCGCGTGAGCAGACCTTGGGCAGGGGGCACACGTGATCAAGGGGCATCAAGAGAGGGGGTGGACCATGGAGCACCCTCTCCATGGCTCCGACCACCCTCCCCCCAGCTGAGCGTCCCAGGGTCACCCCACCCTGGCCCCGCTCCCCGTCCTGCCGGACACGCAACCCCCACAACGTGGTGGGGGACGTGGGGATCCTTAGCAGCTTAGGCCTGCCAGGCCGACGGGTGCCGATGCTGGTGCGGGCTCCCGGCGGCAGGCAGCGCCGCCGCCGGGCACTCAAATGGCATGGGGCACATGGGCCCCCATGCCCGCACATCTCCCAGGCACATGAAAATACCAGAAGGCTGCACATGTAAGGGTGCATGCATTGCAGGCAGGAGTGCAAAGTGGCCTGCCGCGGCGGTCGGCTGTGCCATTACTCAGTCAGCCGCCGCTACCGTGCCGGGCTTGGCGTTCCCATGCCAACATGCCGGCGTGCCATCGCGCAAGGGCCAGTGAGTGTGTGAGGTGGAGGTGGGGGTGGTGGGGCTGCCGCTGACCGCTGCTTGCTGACGCTGACGCTGCTCTTACCTGCGGGGGAGGGGGTGGGTCGGGAGCCAAGGCCGGGCAAAAGATGCCTGGGCCCTACTCAAGGGAACCGGGGGAATCACTGTGCCAGGGCAGCAGCATGCTCCTCATGGCACCGGTCGGCAAACCGGGCCAGCCGGCCCTGCCTGGCCTGGCCGAGGAAGGCGGCCAGGGAGGGCAAGGCGTGGCCGGGACTGTGGAAGAGCTCAGCATACTCCTCCCTCAGCCCAGCGTATAGGGGGCAGTCATACACTGCGTGGCGTACGTCCTCTAGAGGGGCCTGGCAGTGGGGGCATGGGCGCTGGGTGCGGTCCAGCCGCTGCCACCGGCCTGTCTCCTCAGCCATCCAGTGCGACCCCGTGCGCCACTGCGCCAGGCGCACCCGGCGCCGGCGCTCGGGCACATCGCACAGGAACGACGCAGGCGTGTAGGCCTCCGCAGAGATGCTGCCCCCCCACACGTCCTCAATGTACCGCTGCACCTTCACGGATGCATGCGTGTACGAGGCAACATGGCGCTCCAGGAGCGCTCCGCCAATTCAGGTATG